AAAAATCGATGAACATTAATCTCAGTGGTCAATGTTTCTAATATCTCATTGTCCCTGCATATATAATTTTTGACCAACTCTATCTGATCTTTGTTTCTATAAGGTGCAAATTAATTATATGAACCAAAAGATTAGCTTAAGAAATTGGTATAAATAATTTTGAATTAAAGATAATCATTTTTTTTCATATCAAGCAACATACCACTAATTAAACATACTAAAATGCTGCTTAAACCACAAATACATATATAAAAACAATGGATATACCTGGAAAAAAAATATCTGGCAGAATGAAGAGATGGAAAGATAGGAGAAAGAAGACTTATTGTGTACCTTTATAGAGTTTTGTAATGTAAAGAATAGGAAAAGATTGTGGCAGAAAATTATATAAACATTGATCAACAATAACTAAGAAAATTATGATTAAAAACATTTTTGGATTGTATTTAAGGAGATTGTGATTGTTCATCTTCAATCTTAATTATATTGAATTTAGTGTAAAACATTAAGTGTTGTTGGAATGAGTTTAACGGCAAAAACTAAAAGGATAAATAATTAAAGCTCAATAAAAGATAGAAAACTGTTGAGCTATCATTATTTTATTTTATTTAAGAAGTTTGTAAAAGACATTTTTAATTTTAAAAATTAGTGAAGGGCATTTTCATAATTCAACTTTAAATTAAAAACCTTCCCACTTTTAATATAATATGAAATATGATGATTAGTAGTTGACATATATTAGACCATCTCCAATCCCTCTCTATTTTTATTCTCTCTAATTATATATCAACAAAAAATGATCCAACAAGAAAAATTGAGTAAGTCAACTTCAAATCAGACAACTATCTAGATAATTCATATGTACTTATTTTCATTGCCACATATATACATTTGCAACAACTTCTACTTGACAAGAAGTTCAATGATTTTATGTTGCACAAACTACAAATTGGTGTTCACAATGTGAAAAGCCTCAATTTTTTGGAGAAAAAAGATTTGATCAAAAACTTGTATGAAGAGTT